AGGGTCTTACCTTCTGCCTCTTTCCTTTTTCTCTTCAAGCAGATGAATTTTTTTTTAGAAGAAAAAATTTTAATCAAAGGGAACGATTGTTGTAGAAAGACAGTTTTATGATTTTTAAAAAATGTTGGCGGGTCCCCGGCTGCAGTAGGCAGGCAGCGGGCTCTGGGAGTAGCCAGTCCCAGACAGAGACAGCTGCGGGTCCCTAAAAGATCCCCGGCGGGGCATGTGGCAGCAGGCAGGAGACAGAGACATGGATAGACACAACATGTAGAGTGAGGTTGAATATTTATTCAGGGGGCTATGGAGGGGGAAGGGAGAAGGGGGGCAGAGAGAGAGAAGAGGAGAAAGAGACAGAGAAGGGGGGAAGTGGAGAGACATGCACACACCAAGAGGGGACAGAGAGATCTAAGATGGCGGGAGGAGGGCAGGGGTTGCTGGGGGTGAGCGTGGCTTGCTTTTTAAAGAGACAAAAACCATAACAGACAGGAGACTTCATACATAGTAATGTTTGGGGGGGGCGGGAAGGGAGCAGGATCTCACTGTGTAGCTCTGGCTGGCCCGGAACTCACAGAGATCCCCCTGCCTCTGCCTCCTGAGTGCTGGGATTAAAGGCGTGCACCAGCATGTCAGGCTTGAGCTTTCATTTGGAATATAGTTATTTTATAACCAATGCTTTTTACATTTTGTGATAATGAGAAAGGAACCATCAACCAAGAACAAGCCATAAAAATTAAAAACACAAGTTTAAAAAGGGAAAGGAAATAATGTTCAGAGGTCAAATGAGTTTGTCCTAAGGTAAGGGATTGTTCTAGAATGGAAATAGATTGATGAGGCAAAAATGGCAGTCTAAACTGGAACTAATTGGCTATAATTAAAGGTTACTAAAAATTCCCTGGGTCAAATTTCAGTGCCCCAAGATAAAACTGGGTGATGGAGTGACATTTACAAAAACTGCCATACAGAACAGGACTTGGTCTTTGTCTTTGTATTGAATGAGCCGTTAAAGAGCTGTAGTTTCGGTGCTGGCAAGATGTCTCAGTGGTTAGAAGCGCCACTTGCAACAGGTGCACATAGTCAAACTCTTATCTCAAGCTTTGATGAGATAGATATAGCACCCTCTTCTGGCCACCGAGGGGACTGCACTCATGTTCACATACCCCTCCCCTCACATAGAGCATTAAAAGTATAAAGATACATCTTTTAAAGTAAATCTAAAAGGCCTGAACTTTGTGTTTTAGTCAGACGTTAAGTTTATGTTTTTCCACTAGGCACTGCTCTCACGTGTCAGAGAGTCACAATTGGAAAAATTCCGTTAATGTGGTTTCTCCTGCCTGGGGCATGTCTGTCACATTGCATAATATTTATGAAATACTGCTTTTTGTGCATGTGTGTGTGTGCGTGCATGTGTGTGCGTGCCTATATGTGTGTGCGTGCCTATGTGTGTGTATGTGTGCGGTGTGTGTGTGTGCCTATGTGTGTGTGTGCATGTGTGTGTGCCTATGTGTGTGTGTGCGTGTGTGTGTGCCTATGTGTGTGTGTGTGTGTGCCTATGTGTGTGTGTATGTGTGCGTGCCTATGTGTGTGTGTGCGTGCCTATGTGTATGTGTGTGTGCATACATATGTGTGTGTGCTTATGTGTGTGTGCGTGCATGTGTGTGTATGTGTGCGTGCATGTGTGTGTGCCTATGTGTGCGTGCATACATATGTGTGGGCTGGTGCTCATGAAACTGTGTGGCAAATGAGTATGGAGAACAGAGGTCAACCTTGGCCTTCCAAGGCCTCGATTCAAAGTGCTTGGTGTTTTCAGCCACAGAGACTCTTACAACGTTCTCAAAGAACTAATTAAAAAAAAAGGAGGGGGAACATATACATTTCTATGAAAAAAATAGGAAGCAGGTGTTAATCAATTAAGTGAGTTGTATTTTCTGTCAGACAAGGCTATCTCCCTAAAGCAGGGGTTTGAACAAAATACAGGCCAGAGACAGAAGTTAAAGAACATAAAGGAAACGTTTACCTTTGGAGTTTACTGGTTTATAATCCTGGTAGTTGTGGGAGAGGAGGAGTCTCAAGACTGGAGTGGGAGGGTGGGGGAGCGAGAGAGATCGCACCCTCTGGGACAGGCAGTGTGGGGAACAGGCTGTTTATTGACAGGAATGCTTATCTGGGCTTCTTTTGATCCATGAGAGGTGGAGCCAAGTCTTCTGACCTCCTTGACTTCCTGAAGCTTACAGGAATTACTTTTAGTTAACAGTTAACTAAAGTTAACTATAAGTTAACAGTTATATTAGCATCACCACTGTTTGCCATCTGTGCTAAAATCCTCATTGTAGAAAAAGCAGCTAATGGGTGACTGTGAACAGCTGGAGTAGACTTACCGCAAAAACTATGGCTTTGGGTTAAAAGGCAAGGACATAAGGACATTCTTTGTGTGTGTGTGTGTGTGTGTGTGTGTGTGTGTGTCCTTATGTCCAGAGGGCTGGATATAGATTGGGGAGAGATATTTTTAGCATTATGAGAAGCATTTTCAAGTCTCTATTTGGAAGACATCCAAAGGAAATTTAAAACCTTGATAATAATAGCTCAGTGCTTTACCAGGGTATCAGAACTTACAGACTTACAGTTACCTGGACAGTTACCCTAGGCTCTGCTGGTAGTTTTGCTGGGCACAGAGGTCAGTCTTTGGCTGTCATATAGGACATTATTGACCTCCAGCTACCAGATCCAGAAAATCTGAGAGATTTACCTGTGGAGAAGACACCTGGGAGAAATGACCTCACTTTGAGGAGCCAGAGTCAACCCTACAGTGTCCACAGTTTGGGCAGGACCATGGCAGTAGGCAAGGCATGGTCAGCTCTTCCCAGTGGTTAGCGTGACCACAATCACGCGTATGCTCCATTTGTCTTCTTTGGAGGGCTTAGGGTCATCTCTAGGAGCTGGCATTTCTGCCAATCATTGGAAACTTTTCCATTAAACATTTTAAATGTCATATCCAGCAGAGCTCTGAAAAGTGTTGAGGGCCATCTATTAAGAATACCTGATTTAAATAAACTTTATTTGTGTTTTTAGTTATTTGTTTAAGGCTTAGCCCTGAAAATACACATAGGGAGTAATTCATGTAAAGAAATTACATTTGTAGCCAGTGTAAGCATAGTTCTGAACAGATTAGTCATTTATTAGGAGCCTATCAACCCTTATGTTATAATTTTTAAAAATGTTTTAATTTATTCTACTCTTATGCAGTACATCCCGACCCCAGCTTTCCCTCCCTCCCCCTCCCAGTTCCCCCTTAATTATTTTTTTTATAGTTATTTATTTATTATGCATACAATATTCTGTCTGTGTGTATGTCTGCAGGCCAGAAGAGGGCACCAGACCTCATTCCAGATGGTTGTGAGCCACCATGTGGTTGCCGGGAATTGAACTCAGGACCTTTGGAAGAGCAGGCAATGCTCTTAACCACTGAGCCATCTCTCCAGCCCCCCCTTAATTATTTTTTAAAGAGTCTTGAACAAGTTATTAGCTTCTATAAGACCAAGATTCAAACTTAATTTTAAATTGATTAGCATTTTCATTTTAATATTAGCCCTTAGAATCACTGAACTTGCTGCAGGGGTTTAGACTGGGTGTGCTGTTGGCCCAGCAGGATTTAACAGGGAACACGGTAGCCATTGGTGCCCCAGCTACATCCAGCAGTAAGAGCCAGTCCTCGGCTTTTGCATAGTTTGCTACAAATAACCTGTATCTGCGTATCATAGTACTGGGCTTTCATCCTATCATACAGTCCTTGTCTTAGTTAGGGTTTCTATTGCTGTGCAGAGACACCATGGTCAGGGCAACACTTATCAAGCATTTGATTGAGATGGCGGCTTACAGTTCAGAGGTTCAGTCTCTGGTCATCACGATGGGCAGATGGCAGTATGCAGGCAGACATGGTGTTGATTTCCTTTCGATCAGAAGGCATCAGGAAGTGGACTGTGACTCTGGGTGGTATCTTGAGCATATGTAAGACCTGATAGTCCACCTCCACTGTGACACACTTCCTTCAGCAGGGCCACATCTCCTAATAGTGCCACTCCCTTTGGGGATCATTTTCTTTCAAAACAGCACATCCTACTGAAAAGCTTGTAGCTGTATCATATTGCAAAAACGCACTCAGTCCAATCAGTCTCTAACAGTACCAAATTTGTCTCAAAATCTCTTCTGAGACTCATGTAATTTCTTAATTGTAATCCCCTGTAAAATTACAATAAAAAAAGCAGATCACATACTTCCAACATATAATGGCACAGGATATACATTACCATTCCAAAACATAAGGAAGGGAGCACAGTGAGGAAATACTGGACCACAACAAGACCAAATACCAGCTGGACAAACTCCAAACTCTGTATCTCCATATCTGATGTCAAAATGCTCTTCAGATCTCCAGTCCCATTCAGCTTTGTTGACTACAGCATACTTCCTTTTCTTGGGTGATTCCACTCCCTTTTAGCAGATTTCCTCAGTAGATATCCCACAACCCTGGCATCTCTAACATTTTGGGTTTCCCAAGGCAATCCAGGCTTCACCTTCACAGCATCCCACAGTGGCCTCTCTAGGTCTCCATTTGTGGACTTCCCTGACACAGGCTTGGCCTCAGTGACCAAAGTTGCCAAGTCCTGCTGTTTACTGTGGCCAGAACAATTGCATCTTCACCAGCTTTTTCTTTCTTTCTTTCCTTTCTTTCTTTCTTTCTTTCTTTCTCTTTCTTTCTTCCTCCCTCCCTCCTTTCCTTCCTTCCTTCCTTCCTTCCTTCCTTCTTTCATTTTTTTTCTTTTTGGGGTTTTTTGAGACAAGGTTTCTCTGTAGCTTTGGTGCCTGTCCTGGAACTAGATCTTCTAGACCAGGCTGGCCTTGAACTCACAGAGATCCGCCTACCTCTGCCTCCTGAGTGCTGGGATTAAAGGTGTGCACCACCACCTCCTGGCTTCATCTTCATCAGCTTTCTGTTTTCAATAGTTAGACTAGACTGGCTTCAAACTCAGAGATCCGCCAGCCTCTGCCAGTGCTGGAATTAAAGGCATGCACTACCACACCCAGTTCTAAGCTTTTCTTTAATTTCTTTTCACAAGTTGGAAATTTAACTAGTTGGGATCTTGTCTTGAAGTTACCACTTCCTTTATTCTATTTCTTAATCTGTTTATCTCCTTGAACAAAGGACTTAGTTCCATTCCATTTTTTGGTGTTTCTTTTCTCTTTAAAATTTTACATTTTGTAGTTTCCTCTGCTCAGCTTGCTCCTTTTCATTATAAATCTTCATTAGAGTTACCACTAATAACCACATGACAGGGTCTATACTGGGCTGTTTTGAGATTTCCTTGGTCAATGAAATTAATCCAAAGCTCTTCAGAGAGACTCTTTGGACAAGGGCAAAAAGCAACCACTTTCTTCACCAAAATATCACAAGAACAATCTCTAGGTCACATACTAAAGCGCTTCTCCTCTGAAGCCTCTTGAGCCAGCCCTCCCACCCCCCACAGCTTAAATCATACTCAGCACCACTGTCTCCCATGCACCTACTAGTATGCCCCATTAAGTAGCACTTAAAACATTCCAGTGCTTTTCTATTCCATAGACACAAGGTCTATATTCTTTCAAACAAAAGTCTGATCAGGTCTATTACAGCAATACCCCAATCCTTGGTACCAGCCTCTATCTTAGTGAGGGTTTCTATTGTTGTGAAGAGGCACCATGACCGTTGCTTATAAAGGAAAACATTCACTGAGGTGGCTGCTGTAGTTCACAATCCTGTAGACTCAGCTAGAGGCTGTGCACATTACCAAAGTCAGTGCCTTTGTTTGGAGGCAAGACAAACTTTAAGATGCTCTCTTTGCTCTAGAGTTCCCTGCGGGACATCATTTTTGAAATCCTCATTTCCCTCCGAATTTCTTTTTATTTTTGTTCTTTTTTTGGTACCCTGAACTCTTGTCTGTAGACCAGGCTGGCCTTTAACTCAGAGATCTACCTGTCTCTGCCTTCTGAGAGCTGGGATTGAAGATGTTAGCCACCACTGCCCTGCTTTTTGGGGGCTGTTTTGTTCTATTTTTTTTGTCATAAAATCAGGTGTCTCATAGAAGGATTATAGAGCAGATAGAATAATTTTAAATAAATGTGCTTGGGTCTAGAGAAGCAGGAGCGATAGCCGAACTTCACAACCAGCTTTCCCGTAAAGCAGAGCAGTGTAAAATGATATTTCAATAGTATCTGTATCTAAAAAAACACCCCTGAATCCTTGCTGAATTCAATTCACTAACCAGTAGGAGGGGCCAGAGAAACCCAAGAGCAGAAACAGCAGTCAAGGCAAACAACCAAAGTGATCACTGCCCCATCTTCCCCTGCGGGTGTACCTCTCCCTCCCCGCTTTGTCGGCTGTGGTTTTCCTGGGGTGAGGAGGCAGGAAGGATCCATTAGGATTCACCCTTGGGGAGTTTGTGGGGTAACCACAAGTGCTGGAGCAGATTCCAGATCCTGGCTTCCAATACCTGCTCATCCAGCTTCTCACCTTGCCCTTCTCGTCCTTGCCGTCCATCTGCCTGCCCTGGCTATGCATGTGGGTCCAAAGCCTGCACCTAGCAGCCTACCCAGGAAAGGAAAACAAAGTTTTCTCTGGGCTTCATTGGCTGCTGCTGTAGCAGGTGGAGGGGGGCAAGGCGGGGCAGAAGAGTTAAAGACACAGATAGGGCAAAAATGAAACCATAGAACACATAATGTTCAAGGGACAGAGTCAGCAAAAATCAAAACCATTAAACAGTACAGAGAACATTCATGTAGCCAAAAGAGACTGGTCAGAAACAAAGCGTGTGATGCCCACCTTCATTCATACATTTAACTTGGCTTTTCAGATATCCTCTTTGGTCCCCAGAAGCCAGAACTAGGTGGGCAGAGTCACTTTTCACTAGTGCCCTGGGCAGGAGAGAAACAGCATACAGAACAAAACACAGGTGACCAAGAATAATACACTAACACCCCCAAACGCCTTGCTATTGCTCGAGACAGGAGTTCTTATGCCTCATCAGGTACCTCTCTGTCCCTAGACAGGATCCCATCAGAAACAGTACATCTATGCCATAGAACAGGGGTTTTCAACCTGTGGTTCATGACCATCAGGAAGCATAGATTTATGAGGGTCTTAGGAACTCCTAACCATAAATTTATTTTCGTAGCTACTTCATAACTATAATTTTGCTGCTGGGTGGGCTGTCAGCTCCTAAGATTATTGGAAATATGTGTTTTTCAGTGGTCAAGACCCTCAGGTTGAGAAATGCTGACATAGAAGGAGCTGCCTTCTATGACTCACCAATGGAGCGCTCCTGGTTTCTTTTTAGTGCCACAGCTCACTACAACAATCTACCAAACCTAAAGTATGCATTGGAGTCTTGGAAGATCTTCAAGGTGTGCACCTTCCAAGGCAGGATTTGGGTCCTCGAGTCCTGGAGTTGAAGGTCTGGCTTCGGAATGTGGGTTGGGGGTCTTGATCTCACTGGGATCTCCAATAGTTTATCCTGCTGAACAAGAGTAGAGACAATTAGTCAAATTCTTTGGTCAAGGGGCTGGAGAGATGGCTCAGAGGTTAAGAGCATTGCCTGCTCTTCCAAAGGTCCTGAGTTCAATTTGCAGCAACCACATGGTGGCTCACAACCATCTGTATTGGGGTCTGGTGCCTTATTCTGGCCTGCAGGCATACACACAGACAGAATATTGTATACATAATAAATAAATATTAAAAAAAATTCTTTGGTCAAATTAAGAGAGCTGTATTTTCTATCAGACAGGGCTCTCTCTCTAAAGCAGAGGTTTGAAAAAAAAGCATCAAACACTGGAGGAGGTGGGCTGTATATGAGCCCCAAACTGCAAGACTAGGCTTTTTTCAAGGGTTGAGGGATTTCCAGAGAAATTTTGATTACCTGGGAACTTGACTGAGCATTTAGAAATGATTTGGCAGAATATTTTATTCATACCAGGTCTGAGTCAAATCTATAGGGTGGGGAGCATGTCAAATTCAAGGAACAGGTTAAAGCACAGTCAACAGGTATTTAGGGTATCCAATAAGATTAGAATTAAATAATAGTCACGTTTTTGAGACAGCATGGAAGTTATTACAAGCAACTCCTCCAAAGATTGCATTTCTTCTTCTGACTGTGAAGTAGGATTTGGTCAGGCCCCTCCAAGGCCCATGAAACCTTAATTCCTCACAAGTGTGACCTAGTTTTTTCTATCCTGTCATTAATAATTCCTCTGCTTTTAAAAAGAGTATTTGAAGTAGTACAGGCTGAGGGGGATAACTGAATGGGTAAAGGTGCTTGTGGCTCAGGCCATGATTTGAGTGGGATTCCCAGGTCCCCCATAAAGTTTGGTGAAAAGAACAGGTTCTACCAAGTTATCCTCTTGCCTCTGCATGTGCATCTTGGCATGTGCTCCCTCTCACACCACATACACAGATACACCACAAACATATACACATACACTACACACACCACACATACCACAAACACACATACACCACACACATACTGCATATACGTATACATATACCACACACACATGTCATACACCTACATTCACATATACACACCATAGACACACCAAACACACACATGACAAACCACACACACAAACTGCATATACACACACAACACACGCATATATACCACAACATACATCCTCACACAATACATCACACATATATATGGTGTGGGAGAATTGTCTGTATTCTGTCAATCATGTTTTAAATAAATGCTGATTGGCCAGGCAGAAAATATAGGAGGGAAACCAGACAGGAAGTAAAAATGATGCAATGAGAACAGGAGAATTCTGGGAAGGAGGAAGTTGATTCCCACTCCTGCCCAGACCACCGAAGCAGCAGGATGTGACCTGCCCTACTGAAAAAAGGTACTGAGCCACATGGCTAACATAGATCAGAAAAATGGGTTAATCAAGATGTGAGAGTCAGCCAGTGAGAGGCTAGAGCTAATGGCCAATCAGCTTATAATTTATGGAGACCTATATGTGTGATTTTCTTTGGGGCTAAACAGTTTTGGGGTACCAGGCAGGACAGAAACCCCAACAAGCAGGCCCCGTTCATGTTACATATATACACATATATACACCACACTGACACACCACACGGACACACAACACACCACACACACAAACTGCATACACACACATATATACCACACATCCACACATTGCACATACCCATACAGTGCACATACACATACACACAAACACACACATATATACTATACACACAAACATACACATACACCACATACACACAAAACATGTTTCACATACACATATACACACACAAAGACACAGCAATATTAGAGCCCAAGGGACTGATGAGAACTCCCTGACAGTAAAGATTTAGAATATTGCTTGTTATCCTAGGGCTATCTTTAGTGGACCTCTGAGTCTGACCTGCTATCCTTTTGACAAATGGGTGAAGCCTTTGAAATGTATCAAGGGATCAGTAGCTTCTACCAACTAGAATGTCATGAGATACTTGCCTCTCCTTGCTGGACCCCATCTACCTGATGTTTCCACTAATGTATTTGAAAAATATCTTGACTGAAGATTTCATCAGGTGATAAATGCATTGGAACATGGTTTTTGGGGAGACAGATCTGTGTTCCTAGGCCTTAGTCAGTCCTATCTGACTGCAGAATAACCATGTTCTTTCTCTTTATTGTGAGAGAGGGTTGTTTGGTTTTTGATCGACACTGCCCTTTTTCTGCTTGGCCTGGCTCCTCAGTAGTCTCCAGGATGTAACGGATGCAAGAAAAGGCTTACCCACTTCCCTCCTAATTCAGCAGCAAAGGAGAGAAGAAAAAATAGTTCTGTCTCTAGTGAAAAGCAAGAGGAGAAAGCCCAACATGGGCTCCTTACCTGGCAGTTTTCTGTCCTTGGTGTTCTAGCTTCAGTAGTCCTTAGCCAGCACCACCACCAACACAATGGGGAGTGCAGATACAGCTGAGGCAGAAGCCGGGCTAGCAGTATCACTGGTTATTGTGTGACCTATGGATCCTTCCCGCCCCTGCCTCCTTCCCCCTGAGGCGGATTGTTGCCTCATTTTCTTACTAGGGGCAGCAGGGACCTTCATATCATAGTGCCTCAGGTAGCAGGTGAACTCTGATTCCTGTCCAGGAAGAATCCAAATAGACGCCCAGGTCTGGTAGGTCCCATCCCCACTGGGCAAGATGGTCCTAGGCCCAAAGATCTGCTGCTGTACCGGCTTCCCATCCTGAAGCCAGGTCAGGGTGTCCACAGGAGGACATAGATTAAAAGCCCGGCAAGTCAGGGTGATCCTGCCCACTGGATATGTCCTGTTGGTCACCTTCACTTCTGGGGAGCCTAGGGGAAAATGAGGAAGAGCTGGTGAGTGGTGAGATGAGTCAGGGACCCCCAAAGGAGCAGGCCTGAGCCAGAGAACTCTGTGGGACCAGTCCTAAGCCACGGGCCTCCTCAAGGGCCAGGCCCATGTCAGGGACATCTACAGAAACAGGCCTGAGCCAGTGACCTCCACTGGGGCAGGCCTGAGCCAGCTACCACAGCCAGAGCAAGTCTGAGGCAGCAACCTCCCCTGGAGCAGGCCTGAACCAGCAACCTCTGCCAGAGCAGACCCAAGGAAACAACTTCAGTGGAACCAGCCCCAAGCAAACAACCTCTATGGGAGCAGGCCTGAACAACCCCTTGTACTGTAGAGTGACCCCAGGGTGCTCTGAGTGACCTCCAGGAACACCGTGTGACCTCCAGGGTTACTGAAACCATGGCCCTGACTGCACCATGAGGAGCAACCATCTGAGCCTTGGATCCACTGGCACCTGGAAGATTGATCACCAGAGACACAGACATCACCAACTACACCAATCAGAGGAAAAGGTGGGTAGACAAGGTAAGAACACACTCAACACCACAAAGAACAACAACACCAGTAAAAACTAGTGGCCCTATAACAGCAAGACTTGAACACCCAAATATAGATGAAGCAGAAAAAAATGACCTAAAAAATAACTTTAGGAGAATGTTTGAGGCCCTTAAAGAGGAAATGAAAAATTCTCTCAAAGAAATGGAAGAAAAGACAAAGAAAAAATTGGAAGAAATCAATAAATCCATTAAGGAAAACAAAAAAGCAATCAAAAAGATAAAAGAAATGATTAAAGACTTGAAAACCGAAACAGAGACAATAAAGAAAACACAAACAGAGGGAATTATAGAAACGTAAATTATGAGAAAACAATCAGGCACCACAAACACAAGCATGAACTGCAGAACACAAGAGATGGAAAAGACAATCTCAAACACTGAAGATGCAATAGAGGAAATAGACTCATTGGTCAATGAAAGCATTACATCTAACAAAAGCTTAACACAAAATATCCAGGAAATATAGGACATTATGAAAATAGCAAACCTAAGATTAATAGGTATAGAGGAAGGAGAAGAACTCCAGCTCAAAGGCACAGAAAACATATTCAATAAAATCATAGAAGAAAACTTTCCCATCTAAAGAAAGATATGTATATGAAGATACAAGAAGCTTACAGAACAACCAATAGACTGGATCCAAAAAAAGACCCCTTGCCACACAATAATTAAAACCCTAAACATACAGAATACAGCTGCAAAAGAAAAAAGTCAAGTAACATATAAAGGCAGACTTATAGGAATTACACCTGACTTCTCAATGGAAACAATGAAAGCCAGAAAGTCCTGGTGAAGGGTTATGCAGACATTAAGAAACCACAGATGCCAGCCCAGACTACTATACCCAACAAAACTTTCAATCACCATAGACAGACAAAACAAGATATTCCCTGAAAGAACCAGATTTAACCAATACCTAGCCACAAGCCCAGCCCAACACAAAGTTCTAGAATGAAAACTCCAACCCAAGGAAAATGGATGGATGGCTACATCCATAAAAACACAGACAATAGATGATCTCACAGCAGCAAATCCCAAAGAAGGGGAAAACACATACAATAACATGACCAACAACAAAACCTAAAATAACAGGATCTAGCAATCAGTGGCCATTAATATCCCTTAATATAAATGAACTCAACTCACCTATAAAAAGACACAGGCTAACAGATTGGATACAAAAACAGAATCCATCCTTCTGCTGTATTCAAGAAACACACCTTAACCTCAAAGACAGACATCACCTCAGAGTAAAGGGTCTGGAAAAAAATTTTCCAATCAAATGGACCTAAGAAACAAGCTGGTGTAGATATCCTACTATCTAACAAAATAGGCTTCAAACTAAAATCAATCAAAAGAGACAAAGAAGGACATTTCTTATTAGTCACAGAAAAAAATCCATCAAAAGGAAATCTTAATACTGAACATTGATGCCCCAAATACAAGGACACCCTCATATGTAAAAGAAAAAATTCTAAAGCTTAAATCACACATTAAACTCCACACACTAATAGAGACTTCAATATCCCACTCTTACCGCTGGACAGGTCTGTCAGATATAAACTTAACAGAGAAATAAGGGAACTAACAGATGTGATGACCCAAATGGACTTAACAGACATCTATAGAACATTCCATCCATACATAAAAGAATATACCTTCTTCTCAGCACCTCATGGAATCTTCTCAAAAATTGACCACAGACAAGGTAACAAAACAAACCTCCACAGATACAAAAAAATTGGAATAACCTCATGTATCTTATTGGATCACCATGGTTTAAAATTAGAATTCAACAGCAAAACTAATTCCAGAAAGCCCATAAATGCATGGAAATTAAACAATGCTCACCTGGGTCAAGAAAGAAATAAAGGAAGAAATTAAAGACTTCCTAAAATTTAACAAAAACGATCTCACAGCATACCCAAATTTATGGGACACAATGAAAGCAGTATTAAGAGGAAAGTTCATAGCACTAAATGCCTACATAAAGAAGTTGGAAAAAAAATCTCACACTAGTGAGTTAACTGGACATTTGAAAGCACTAGAACAAAAAGAAGCAAACTCACCCAGGAGGACTAGACAGCAGGAAATAATGGAATTGAGAGCTGAAATCAACAAAATAGAAATGAAGAAAACAATACAAAGAATCAATGAGACAGAGTTGGTTCTTTGAGAAAATCAACAAAATAGGCAAACATTTATCCAAACTAACCAAAAGGCAGAGAGAGAATATCCAAATTAATAAAATCAGAAATGAAAAGGGGGATATAACCATAGACACCAGGGAAATCCAGAGATTCATTAGGTCATATTTCAAAAACCTGTACTCCATAAAATTGGAAATCTTAAAGGAAATGGACACCTTTCTGGATAAATATCACTTACCAAAATTAAATCAAGACCAGATAAGCAAATTTAAACAGACCTATAACTGCTAAAGAAATAGAAACAGTCATAAAAAGTCTCCCAATCAAGAAAAGCCAAGGACCAGATGGTTTCAGCACAGAATTCTACAATATTTTCAAAGAAAAATTAATACCAATACTCCTCAAATTGTTCCACACAATAGAAGCAGAAGGAATATTGCCAAACTCTCTTTATGAGGCTACAATTACCTTGATACCCAAACCACAGAAAGACATTACTAAGAAAGAGAATTACAGACTAATTTCATTCATAAACATTGATGCAAAAAAACATTCAATAAAACCCTGGCAAACAGAATCCAAGAACACATCAGAAAAATTATCCACCATGATCAAGTTGGCTTTATCCCATAGATGCAGGAATGGTTCAACACAAAAAAATCTGTCAATGCAATCCACCATATAAAAAACTGAAAAATAACAACCACATGATCATTTCATTAGTTGCTGAAAAAGCCTTTGACAAAATATAACATCCCTTCATGATAAAGGTCTTAGAGAGAGCAGACATACAAGGAACATACCTAAACATAATAAAGGTAATATACAGCAAGTCAACAGTCAACATCAAACTAAATGGAGAGAAACTGAAAGCGATCCCACTGAAATCAGGAACAAGACAAGGTTGTCTACTCTCTCCATATCTAGTCAATATAGTTCTTGAGGTTCTAGCTAGAGCAATAAGACAACAAAAGGAGATCAAGGGGATACAAATCAGAAAAGAAGTCAAACTCTCACTGTTTGCTGATGATGTGATAGTTTATATAAGTGACCCCAAAAATTCTACCAAGGAACTTCAACAACTCATAAATACTTTCAGTAACGTAGCAGGATACAAGATTAACTCAAAAAAAATCAGTAGCCCTCTTTTGCATAGATGATAAATGGGATGAGGAAGAAAACAGAGAAACATCACCCACAATAGCCACTAAGAGCATAAAATATGTCAGAGTAATTCTGACCAACAAGCAGAAGACATGTATGACAAGAACTTTAAATATTTGAAGAAAGAAACTGGGGGCTGGAGAGATGGCTCAGAGGTTAAGAGCAAAGACTGCTCAATTCCCAGCTCACAACCATCTGTAATGAGATCTCGCCCTCTTCTGGCGAGTAGGCATATATGCAGACAGAACACTGTATACATAATAAATAAAAATTTTTAAAAGAAAAAAAAAGAGAGACCTTAACTCATTAAAAAAAAAAAGAAAGAAACTGAAGACATCAGAAAATGGAAAGATCTCCCATGCTCTTTGGTAGGTAGAATTAACATAGTAAAAATGGAAATCTTACCATAAGCAATCTACAGATTCAATGCAATGCCCATCAAAATCCCAGCAAATATCTTCACAGGCCTCCAAAGAACGGTACTCAATTTCACATGGAAAAGCAAGAAAACCCAGGATAGTTGAAACAACCCTGTACAATAAAGGAATTTCTGGAAGCATCACAATCTGTGACTTCAAACTCTATTACAGAGCTACTGTACTGAAAATGCCTGGTATTGGCATAAAAACAGACAGGAGAAACAATGGAACTGAATTGAAGATCCAGATATCAATCCACACACCTATGAACATCTGATTTCTGACAAAGAAACAAAAAAAAATAAAATGGAAAAAAGAAAGCACATATAACAAGTGGTGCTGGCAAAACTGGATATCAACATATAGAAGAATAAAAATAGACCCATATCTATCACCATGCACAAAACTCAAGTCCAAATGGATCAAAGACCTCAACATAAAACTAACCACACTGAACATCATAGAAGAGAAAATGTGAAGTACACTTGAACACATTGGCACAGGAGACCACTTCCTAAATATAGCCACAGAAGAACAGACACTGAGAGAAATAGTTATAAGTGGGACCTCCTGAAACTGAGAAGCTTCTGTAAAGCAAAGGACATGGTCATCAAGACAAAACAACAGCCTACAGAATGGGAAAAGATCTTCACCAACCCCACATCGGACTGAGGGCTGATGTCCAAAATATATTAAGAACGGATGAAATTGGTCGTCAAAAACAAAACAAAAAACAAACAAACAAATAAAAAACCCCCAAACCCCCCCAAAACAAAATATCCAATAAAAAATGGGGTACAGGTCTAAACAGAGAACTCTCAACAGAGGAATCTAAAATGATGGAAAGACACTAAAGGAAATGCTCAACATCCTTAGCCATCAGAAAAATGCAAATCAAAACAACTCTGAGATTCCATCTTACACCTGTAAGAATGTCCAAGATCAAAAACACTGATGAGGGCTGGAGAGATGGCTCAGTGGTTAAGAGCATTGCCTGCTCTTCCAAAGGTCCTGAGTTCAATTCCCAGCAACCACATGGTGGCTCACAACCATCTGTAATGAGGTCTGGTGCCCTCTTCTGGCCTGCAGGCATACACACAGGCAGAATATTGTATACATAATAAATAAATATTAAAAAAAACACTGATGACAACTTATGCTGCAGAGGTTGTGGGATAAAGGGAACACTCATCCATTGCTGGTGGGAGTGTAAACTGGTACAGTCCCTTTGGATATCAGTATGGTGATATCTCAGAAAATTAGGAAACAACCTACTTCAAAACCTAGCAATACCACTTTGGGTATATGTCCAAAGGATGCTCAATCATACGACAAGGACATATGCTCAACTATGTTCATAGCAGCATTGTTTGTCATAGCCAGAACATGGAAACCTAAATGCCCCTTGACTGAAGAATGGGTAAGGAAAATATGGTACATTTACACAATGGAGTACACACAGAAGAAAAAAAAAAAGCAATGACATCTTGAAATTTGCAGGCAAATGGATGGATCTAGAAAACATCATATTGAATGAGTTAATCCAGATCCAGAAAGACAAATATTATATATACTCACTTATAAGTGGCTTTTAGGCATAAAGCAAAGAAAAACCAGCCTACAATTCACAATCCCAGAGAAGCTAGACAATAATTAGAACCCTAAGAGAGACATACATAGTTCTAAACTACATGGGAAGTAAAAAAAAGACAACATCTCCTGAGTAAATTGGGAGCATGGGGCCATGGGAGATAGTAGAAGGGGAGGGGAGAGAGAGGGAGGGGAGCTGAGAAAAATATATAGCTTAATAAAAACAATAAAAAAACTTAAAGAAAAAAGAAAGCCAGCCTGGGTTATGTAGTGAAGCCTTGTCTCAAGAAAAAGAAAATTAAACCCTTTCAAACAAAAGCAGAACACCGGGCAATGGACCCTGGTCTCGGGTCTGTAGTTCAGCTCCACAGTTGGATCCTTCTGACCAAACAAGCATAACTCCATCTTACCACCTAAGCCCAATTGTTCTTATCTAGCTTTCTTATCTGGTTCTGGTGTGAGATCCAGGCAATATCTGGGAACCCCATCCTTTCCAATAGGGACCCAGAAGTGACCCTGGAGTAGACCCTACACCCAAACTTACAGGCACCACCTTAGACTGTGCCACAATTCTACACACCAATGAGAACACAGACTCCCAGAAGAACCATGGGAAGGATCCTCTTGGCTACAGGAATGTCCCCTGGGTGCTGGAAACTAACCCTGGTGACAGTCAGTACCTTTATCCATCTGACAGTTCCTCATGGAAGCCAGGTATCCTTGGAGCTGAGCAGGACATATGTCATCCAAGAAAGTCTTAACTTCATCAGCTCTGGGTGCATGTGTCTCCCAGAAGGTCTTGGTCTTCTGAGTGAAAGGTATAGCCATTGTCCATGTGAGCGTCTTCTGGTCAAAGGTGAGGAAATCCTGTCCATCGTAGCCAATGCGCCAGAAGCCTCCAGTGCTCCGATTTCCCTGAAGCTCACAGCCCAAGGTTTCCTGGAGGATGTGAAGGCCTGGCCCGCCCCAGGCAGGGACCTGTCACTGTGCTGTCCTTTGACCTAAGCTCCCCTGATACTTCAGTCTAAAAGAGACTATCCAGTGCTCTGGCCCATGGAAGCATTTTGCATTACTCCATTAAGTTCCGCCCTGCCCTGCCCAGAATCAGGTCTCGGGGTTATAGATGGAACTGTGTACTTCTGGCTCTGCACACTCACCCTTGTTCTGACCCTGCCCTGCCCAGAATCAGGCCTCAGGGGTCATAGATGGAACCCGTGTAACTCTGGCTCAGCACACTCACCCTTTTTCTGGCCCTGCTGGTTCATGACTTCAGCCAGCATCCTCCTGAGTTGCTCCTCCTTCTTCCGAAAGTCCTCAGTCTCTCGTGTCCAGGTTTCAGCTCCTGCATGTCCCTTGATCCTGGGCCCCCAGGCCTCTGCTCTTCTGCTGTCCCCATTGTAGCGCAGGAAGAGCTCATCATCAATGTATATCAGGATTGGGAATGGGGGCTGCCAAGCATCTTCTGGAGACAAGACTGTGAGTTGATAGCACAGTGTATGGGTTTCTGAGGGACGGAGACAGGGGTGACACAGGTCACAACATAGGCTGGAGGTTTCTACAGTCGGCTCTGCCTTGAGGGGTTGAACTCAGACTGTGTTTTGCTGCTGTGTGAGTGTGAGGAACCAGAGAAAAGGAGGGAGGTGCTAGGCCCCTCGCCAAAGGGGTTGAGACTGAACGTGGAGAGTGGAAATAAACATGGGTTCTAATCAGGCCCTTTGAGACAGAGTGTTTCAAACAATTACTGAGATGTTTGTTAGGCCCAGAGGTGCAAAAATATTCAGAGAAACAACTACAACTGATTCCTAAACAATGAACCATGTTGATAATTTTAAACTTACAGAAACTAATAGAAACAGAGCCAGTGCTAAAGGTGTTGGACCCTAGCGTCCAATTACTGAGGAGGAGGAGTCGCCCCAAGAGACCATCTCTCATATCACAGCTGATGTAAAAGCATGAGGATTTTTATTAATTCTGCCATGCCAGGGTCTTCCAGCAGTCAGGAGGCTAGAAGCCCCTGAATGTCTGGTACAGGCTATTTTGAAAGGGAAAAACCACAGAAGGAAGGGGTGTCTGGGGGCTGTTCTTTAACTATTATGATTGGCTTATTCAAAAAGGCTATTACCAATAATTGGCTGGAGAGTGGTTGCCAGATCAGATGAGGTAAAGGCAAACTTCTGAGGGTCACTTTGCCAGGGACTAAGTCAAAACATCAGTAACTGAGTCAACACCTAAGGGTTATTTTGTCCCTATTCATGGAGATGGAAAGTTCCCAACATCTTAGTATGGGCATGCATAGCTCTTATGTCCTTGGTTCCCAGGGGAGAAGGGGAAGTACTGAGAGTTGTCAGAAATGGCTTCAGAATTGTCTTAAAGTTCTACATTTCCCCCTCTTATTTGGTCAAATATCCCAATTCTGGGATATTAGTAAATTAAGGGGACTAATTGGATCAGTACATGGAAATTAGCAGTATCATCAGAGATACAAGGGGTTAAACCAATGTTACTGGCCCATCATAGATCAATAATGGGCACTAGGTACCAGTTTCCTGTCGTCTTGGGATTTGGGAGAGTTAGGTTACACAGGTACTGAGGGGTTGGAGTCCCTAAACATGCTTTTATGTTAAGGCTAACTTTTTCTGTTGCCCTTATCTACAGTACGTATGAGAGGTAATATTGTTGAAAGTGCCAGACGAGGCTTTTCCCTCATAATAGGGAGATCCTGCTGTCAGGCATAACCAGCAAGATTGTGTCAAGCTGGGCTCAGTACTATTTAGCAAGGAAAAGGCTCCCTGCACAAGGTTGAATAGTCCTTGGCTGGTGGTGGGAGGTGCCGGCAGAGAAGCGGGGAGAGTAGCTTAGTCCAGCTGGCAGCAGCAGGCCCTGGTCAGATAGAACTTGGTTCTCTACCTTAGCATAATGGTGAAGGTGGCACCTAAATCTTGCTGCTGTATCCTGTTTGGGAAATACCATCGCATGCCCCAAGTCCTTCCCAGGACTGACACCCATGGAGACAGTCCAGCTGCTTGCCCCTGGGAGACAAGTGTGGGAGATGTCACAGGTCCCTGTGCTCCACATGGAGCATTGCTTTGGAAGTATAATTTTTACAAACAGTTATCCAGTTCCAGGAAGAACTAGGTTTTCAATAAGCATCCCTAGTAGTTTTACATTTTCAGGCACCACAGTATACAAATCTAGCTTTCCCAAGTGGCATCTGTGTTCTGGAACCCCGCACCCGAATATTTCCTACAGGGGAAAATCTTCTGCCAGCCTCCAGGGGCAGCTGTGGGGGATATGCATCTCGGATATCCCAGGAGGCTAGTCCTGCTACTAGTTGACAGAAATCAGGGACTGTTTTGGAGTTGGTCTATACCACCTCTCCGGTTTGTGAGGAAACCTGCCAAGTCAGTTTTTGGGTTACAAAAGCGTTGGAGTAACAAAGCAAGGGCTTGAGGAGGCGTGGATTGCGGCGCAAACAGGTGTGAGCTGGCGGTTGCTGCTCTGGCTATGGAGATTTTGCTGTGCTTTTCTCACGTCCCTCCAGATATATCCCAGGAGTCACAATTCTGGAACGGATGGGAGATTTCCGGGTGCCCGGGCTGGTTTAGATGGATAGATAACAGTCTGGGAAGGACAGCATTAGGATTATATACTGTTTTACATAGGATCCTGAAAGGGGGTTTCAGACCCAGAACAGGACAAAGGAAAAGGGGGGGGGGCTGCCCAGTCATTACCCGCTGGTCTTTTTTTTTTTTTTTTTTTTTGACCTGTCCTGAACTCTGAGGTCAGTAATTTTTCCCAATCTTGTTCACATCCTGACTTATCTGGGCAACAAGGCAGTTTTACCAACAATCCCGATTACCTTGGGCAGGCCAAACCTCAGAAAGATTTCTTCTTTATTTTCTTTACCACCAATTGAGCTATTTCTTGTTTGGTGGGAAAAACTTCTGTCCAACTGGAGAAGGTGTCTATAAAAACTAGGAGATATTTATTACCATATTTTCAGGGTTTTATCTCAGTGAAGTCTTTCCAATGTGTACCAGGTCAGTCTCCCCTATTCTTATGCCCTCCGAGGCATTCTGACGCCCTGCATTTACCTTGGTGCAGGGGATGCAAGTCGATATTACCTGCTATATGAGGGAGTTAAGGCCTGGAATATAAAAAAAATCTGTCTTTTTCGTTAGAGATTTAATCTTTTTTTTCCTTCCCTAAATGAGTTCATTGATGCATTTGGGCGACCAGCTCAGAGGCATCCTTATTGGGTAACATGATTTTGTTCTGATACTTTCAAGCTTTTTGTTGTTCATGAAAGTCTGCATTAAGTTTCTGGATAGTCTCTAGATCCTGGGCAGAGTATTGGGAATAATCCTCTGACTCTGGGGAATCTGGTATCTCTACCAGAGACAATATTCTCGAGCCCAGTGCAGCATGCTTGACTACCTTATCGCCATACGATTTTCTTCAATAGCGCCAAGATTTCAGTCTTGTTTTTAATCTCCTTTCCCGCAGACGTTAACAATCCCTGCCTCTTATGTATCTCCCCGTGCATGTGGGCAAACGCATAACGGCTATCCATGTAGATGTTTACTTTTTGTCTTTTTGATAGCTCTAGTGCCTTGCTCAGGGCTATTAATTCTGCATTTGGGCTGAGGTCCCTGGCAGCAGTGCTGTTGCCCATATGATGTCTTGTCCATCTCCACCGCTGCCCCCGCTTTGCGCTCACCTTCTTTGAGGAAACTGCTGCCATCTGTAAGTCTGCTCAGCTCGGACCACCATAACAGGCTCTGTTTGGGCAGATTTGCTTGAAGCTGCGGTCTGAGAGCTGGGAGCAGTTGTTCTCTGTGACACTTGCAAGCAGCTTGGGAAGGCTGTTTGGAATTGGACTCCGGCACCTACAGGACCCCTCCTCACTTCAGTCAGTCCCTGCCTTCGGGGGCGGGCTACTGTAAGCAGAGTTCCTGGGCTTGGGCTGTGTCCAAGGCAGCTTCCTCAGCGAGGTGGGCATGGCGAAGGCTGAGAGCAGCCTACTTTTCCCTGCAACACTCGGGAACAGCAGGGAGTGAAAACAAAAAGGCTAATCTGGTGTGGGTCTCTGTCTCTATCTCTATCCATCACCAGATGAAGGTTCTATGATGATATGCAAGATATTCGTCAGTATTGCTCTAAGATAGGGTCATTTCAGGTTCCCTATCCTCAGCTGCCCAAGGAACTAACTGGGAACCTCATCTTGGGCACCTGGGAGCCCCTCTAGGGTCAAGTCTCTTGCCCACCCTAAAGTGGCTCCCTTAACTAAGAATTGTGGTTCCGTGCTCCCCTATCCACCCTTCCTTTATCCCAATCCTCCTGTTTCCCCAAGTCCTCCCTCCTTCCCTTCTACCTTTTCTCTCCCCATCTCCCCTTACCCCCATCCCACCCCACCCCCAAGATCCCAATTTTCTCCCCGGCAATTTGGTCTACTTCCCTTAGCCAAGAGGATAACAATATGTTTTTCCTTGGGTTCACCTTCTTACTTAGCTTCTTTAGGTTCACCTATTGTAGACTCCGTGACCCTTATTTATGGTGAGAAACCAATTATGAGCGAGTACATCCCATGTTCCTCTTTTTGGGTCTGGGACACCTCACTCAGGATAGTGTTTTCTATTTCCATCCATTTGCATGCAAAATTCGAGAAGTCATTGTTTTTTACCGCAGCGTAGTACTCTAGCGTGTATATATTCCATACTTTCTTCATCCATTCTTCCATTGAAGGGCATCTAGGTTGTTTCCAGGTTCTGGCTATTACAAATATTACTGCTATGAACATAGTTGAACAAATGCTTTTGTCATATGATAGAGCTGAGCTCCCAAGGTCCCAATGAGGAGCAGAAGGAGGGAGAACATGAGCAAAGAAGTCGGGACCACGAGGGGTGCACCCACCCACTGAGACAGTGGAGCTGATCTACTGGGAGCTCACCAAGGCCAGCTGGACTGTGACCGAAAAAGCATGGGATAAAACCGGACTCTCTGAACATGGTGAACAATGAGGACTGATGAGACGCAAAGGACAATGGCACGGGGTTTTGATCCTACTTAATGTGCTGGCTTTGTGGGAGCCTAGCCAGTTTGGATGTTCACCTTCCTAGATATGGACGGAGGGGGAAGGACCTAGGACTTACCACAGGGCAGGGAACCTGGACTGCTCTGTGGACTGGAGAGGGAGGGGGAGAGTAGTGGGGGGAGGGGGAGAAGGGTGGGAGGAGGGGGAGAAGGGTGGGAGGAGGGGGAGGGAAATGGGAGGCTGGGAGGAGGTGGAAACTTGTTTTTTGTTTATGTTTTTTTTCTCCTTTTCTCAATAAAAAAAAGACAAAAAAAAAGGCTAATCTGGGCCTTTGTCTTTGTCAGTAAATCTCTTTCTAATAAAGGCTTGAGACACTCAAAGTCACTGGTCCTTTTCCTCAGCCTTACAGTTCACAGTTTGTAAAGTGGTTCACTGATAATGGTTATTTTAACATATAGTGCTCAGCCCTT